AAACACACGGGCTTCGGTAACCTTGGCGCTGCGACGCGAACGACCTCGTGTTGACCGCAAGTCTGTCGATCTTGCTTCTTTCTCTGATGGCACCACTGAAAGATAGAAAAGGGCGCCTAGCACACGGCCTTAAAAACATGGACAACCACAAGCCCCGAGGAAAAGCTAAGATGCCAACTTCGTCACTTCGGTGGACGAACTAGAAGCAAAAAAAAAAAAAAGCTCACGCCCGGCCCTGAATCCGTCTCCCCGAGTCGTTTCAGGATAGGCAGCGCGCGGATGGAACAGCGCCTGACTGGGATTTGGGGGTAAGGTGAGGAGAGGAAGCGTCACCGGACAAGGTGGCTTCACTGGGCCATGGGGATAGGAGGAACATTTCTGGAAGCCCCATTTCTCCAGGGCCCGGTTGCCTTGGCTTCGAGGCACCAGCGCCTTGGAACAAACCCCGATGATGAGTGACCCCCTGAGGAAACGACGGGGGTTGGGACACAGGGGGGGAGCGAGAGACTCGGGGAATGGCTCTGCGTATTCCGTCATGGCCGATCCCTTGTTAACTGCATCCGAGGATTTAAGTTTCGAAGGAGTGCGGCGTTGAGTCGACGGACGTTGCCAGGTAGGATGCCAGGTGGGATAAGACGGTGGAGCGGATGACGAGCAGTGGACTTATGTAGAGTATTACTATCAGGGTAAGGGTTTGTTATTATTGCGTGGGTGCGCAAGTGATACAGTAAGACGGACGAGGTTCTTTTGCAGTGAGAAATGATATAGAGTTGGGTCAACAGGGTTGATGATAGACGTGTTCTGTTAGATCAAGGTACCTAGTTACTAGTACTGTCTAGCCCTTGTGAGACCGACAATCAACCCGTCAGTTATTACACATCATATTCATTAGCAAATATTTACATTACTTACTAGAACAAAATGGTCATTTGACAAAAGTAATTCCAGTGATAGGAGAGTCAAGACGCAACTTTGTTCAGAGTCGAGAAGGTGAAACACGCCAATTCGCCCAGTCCGTAGCCTGCATGCTTCAGAAGCTTCCACAGTTCCACCATCCACACTCGGCTTAGCTAAGGCGAGCTCCCTGGAATCGCCGACGGTCCGAAGCCGGCGTCTCAAGCTTCTTTACGCGCAGCAAGAAACTATCACGACCATAGTCAATTGACATCCATTTCAGCGTATTATATTCACAGAATGCAACATCCGACTTTGTCTGGTTTTTGTCATTTCTTTATTTATTTATGTTTTGCGGAGCTATCACAAATGGCTCAAATCTAGCCCCCTCCGTTCCAACAGAGGGTCAAATTACTTCGAGAACCGGGCCAGTGTCGATGGTTCGGACACCCGAGACATGCTGCCTGCCTGCACTTTCCTGTAAAAGGACCCGTGGCGATTATGCAGCTACTCAGGCTATTCGTACTACATCCACTCATCTGTGCCTGGTTCTGGCTTGTCTCGCTCATTTTGTCCTTGGTATCATGATATGGTGGTGGATCGGGGAGAGAAGGAGACGTCTACTGGGACAGAACCTTCTCCTTGGCGAGGGGAGTGAATCGGAGGTAGGGCTTGACGATGCGGAACTCGGGGAACAGGGTCTTGGCCTCCTCGTTCTTGACACCGGGGTGGACGATGACGTCGTCACCGGGGACCCAGTTGATGGGGGTGGTGATGCGGTACTTGTCGCCGGTCTGGAGGGAGTCGATGATGCGGAGGATCTCGTCGGCGTTGCGGCCGGTGGAGGCGGGGTAGGAGAGGATGGTGCGGATGGTCTTCTTGGGGTCGATGAAGTAGACGGAGCGGATGGTGAAGGCGATGCCCTTCTCATCGACGTTGGTGGCATCCTGCTGGTCGATCCTGAGATTTGTTAGCTGGTGGTCAAGCCGAGGGAGACTCCAGCACTCACATGTCGTAGAGGAGAGAGACCTGGCGGGACTTGTCGCCAATGATGGGGAAGGTGACGGTGCCGCCGGTGACCTCGGCAATGTCCTTGATCCAGCCCTCGTGGGACTCGATGGTGTTGGCGGACAGGCCGATGGGCTTGACGCCGCGCTTGGCAAAGTCCGGGCCGAGCTTGGCCATGGCGCCGAGCTCGGTGGTGCACACGGGCGTGTAGTCCTCGGGGTGCGAGAAGAGGATGACCCAGTTGTCGCCGATGAACTCGTGGAAGTCGATGGGGCCCTGGGTGGTCTCGGCCTTGAAGTTGGGGGCGATGGAGCCCAGACGGAGAGGGGCGGGAGCAGACATGATGGAGGTTTTTTGTTTTGGGATGGAAGAAGGGAGAGAGATAGATGTGTGTGTGTGTGTGTGTGTGTAAGGGAGAAGAAGAGGGGAAAGGGGGAGCTCCGCGGTGGCCAGGCGGGGAGCGGTTTATATACACGATTGAGGAGGGAGCCCGGTAGGAACACGGCGTCCAGTCTACCTCATTTGATCGGGGACGCTACCGATGGAACCTTGCTGTCCCCTTGGCTTGGCTTCAGGAATCGCCTACCTTAGTCGGTAGGTGTGAAGCTGGATGCGGTGCGTGTAATTGTCTGTCGTGACGCGTGAGAGCATTTCTAAGCTGCGTGACGGACGGCTCCCCGCCCACCCCACGCGCGGCGCAAGTTCCAACTGTTCACGGGATTGTGCCTGGGGAAGACACGCATCCGGCTACTATTGAGCTGTGCTGTATTTCTGGGCTGTCTTTGATTCCAAATGTTGATTTCAAGCTGCTGCAAACATCATCCCATAGCTGACCTGTTGAGTGAGATGCTGCTCTCGCTCTCCCAGATTATTGTCCCAGGGCTGTCCACGTAGGCATGTAAAAGACAAACCCCGCACTAGTTGACCCCTCCAGTCCGCCTAGCTCCGTCGCTCGTCATTATGAACCCCGCCATCCAGCAACACCAACACCAACAACACCGTTTCTCCTAGGATCCAGGGTTACCAATTAAATCCGGTAAAATTGCCAGAGCTGGCCAAAGATACGAAAAGAAGAGCGAGAACCACCGAAAGCGCTCACGTCCCTCCCACCATGTGAGAATCCGATGCCGACCTCAGAAGGCCTGCCATCAACACCAGAGGAAAAAGATGCCCCTCACTGGGCCCGATGCGGCAAAGCCTCGTATTGCGTGCTGCGGCGTCGTCGCCATTGGCCCGTCCGATGCCATTGTGCCATCGTCGGCGCCAATGCTGCCATCGCTGTGTCCCTGACGCCATCGTTGCCCGGCATTCCACATGTTTCGATTCGCGGGTCTGGATCCTCGGGGTGGGACATGCTTCGGAAGTCGGGTCGTCTTGTTAGTGGTTGTTGATTCTCTGTGTATCCGAGCAACGACGAGATATCCCAGACTCGAGCAGCTTTTCAGGAGAGATCCAGGCCCTCTGCTGCGTCAGTGGAGATGAAGCACGGCTTGAAACATACATATGTAACCTTCATATGGAAACCCCATGACTGAACCCCCATTGCCCGTGATCCGTTGTCGGGCTGCCACATCCTAGCCCATCCCATGCATCATGGCATCTTAGCGCGCTGGTCGTGCCGTTCGTTGCCACGCCGCTGCGCCGCTCTTCACCAAAGAGAATGCAACGCCGTCCAAAGCCAAGCCCATCACACAATTCTGCATCACATCGCGCACTCACTTCGTCCCCTGCTTGTCTTGCAAATGCCACATCGTTTCTCCTCCCCGCCGATATCCTTACCACTATTGACCTTTCTCTGCGGCTAAGCCATTTCCCTCCCGCCCGAGCCGTCCGGCCCCGCAGCCACCCAAGGCTAGATGTTCATTCGAGTATCACGTCAATTGATACGATGCGGTAGTGGAGGTGTCGTTGCCAACAGCAAGTGGTATTGGCTAATAAGAATTGAGCATCAAATTCCCGAGTAGGATACTGACTGAAGTTCATGAAACTGGTAAAGACAATCGCGGGAAACGTAGACATCTTCTTCCTGAGCCAGTTTTGTTCTGTCGTAGAACAAGCCATTTCTTTCCACCTTCACCTGCTGACGATCCAGATGTGCCTGTTGGCGAGCGAGAACTTGGAAGTTATGGTGGAGAACTTGACTGTCGGTACTGAGAAGCTCAGGACGGTCTAGAGCGAGGTTGTCCGCGGGATGCGCGGGTTCAGTTGTCGCATCAGAGAAGCCATCCCTCTGAAGACTGGCGAAAGCTATTCTTTTGGAATTTCTTCTGGTTCTACCCATGGTGTCTGCTGGTGATGGGGGCGGAGTAGCGATGGTGGAAAGGAGGCGTTGGATGTCCCACCGAGTTCCAGAGGGGGTCAAGGATGAGGAGGAGGGAAGAAACGAAGAAACGCAACGTGTGGCGATAGTTATCTATGCATGACGGCACCTGGCACCAGCTGGTACAGCTCGAACCCGGCGGCTGATAACCAATAACCGCTGCTGGGTTGAAGTTCCATGCCAGCTGCCAACTGCCAGTGCGCGAGAGCATCTTGCAAAGCTTCGAGCTTCAGCCATTGGTGCAGACAACCATGGCAACGATGAGCCCACCAAGGTATTGGCTAAACGTCCAGAGAAGAGGCGTGTGAGGCTTAGTTGAATCTGGAGTTCTTGTTGCTCCATCGTTGAAAGTGAAGGGAGGGTTTGCGGCAATTGCTGTGTGCACGACCTAAAGTAGGTAAGAAGTCACAGTGATTGAGTGACCGAAGCCTTGGTGCATGAACCGTTGGTATGATGCTGTTTAAAACAAAATGAAGGATTCTCCTCTTAACTACAGTGATGTAGTTGACTCACATCCATCTCTACTCTTACAACTCGACCTGTCAAAGACGCCCTCATTGACCAGGCCAACACGCCGCCCTGAAGTCGATGGACACAACTCTCTTCCCATCAACTCTACTAAACCCATCGAATTATTCCATCTCTTGCTCTAATTCATCCTTCCCATCAACTTGGTCTTACACGCAACTGCTGATGTCCCCACACCGCGGTGGAGTCCCACCGAAAAACCTCACGATATCCACCCCGTATGCCGCAACAGCGCACGATTTTCTTCATCGGCCGCGTGGCCTAATGGCTAAGGCGCTAGATTTCGGTTCACCGACTTCAAAGTTCTCTAGAGATTCCAGTTTCGAATACTGGCGTGGTCGGATACTTTTCTTTTTGCCCTTTGCGAGAGTTGAGTTACGCTGTTTGCCGGTCCCGTTGATGGTGTTGAGGAGTCGCGGGATCGCGGACGTGGCCTTTGTCCGTGGTAGTTTCTTGGCTTTTTGACATTTTGGACATGCTGGATTGTCTTGATCCTGGGAGAACAAAACCCCCTTCTATCTAGTGAGTGTGTGGCTCGCCGTTCAATATGCTTGTCTTTTGAAGACTTGATGACGTCTCACCAGAGTCAGTCAGTGGTCCCGCGGACTCTCAACATGGACCTTGCGCCGTGAGGTTCATGTCCCATCAACCTAGAAACACATGGATACGTACAGTCTGAAACCACAGCTTGTCCAGTTTAGCTAATTCGTGGCTTGACTCGCTCGACTCAACATCACCAGGGACATCCCTCCGCCCTAGCGTCCTTCACATGTTCGCGCGTCCTCCAGTGCAACCACCCCGCAGACCACACTCGTTCTTCCAAATAGTTCATGTGAATGTCTCGATTAAGCAAACCGTCTTGATGACGTTACTGTAACACATCTATCCTCCAATGCAACATCTCGAACTAACCCAATGCTTCGTGTTCGCCATGTAATGCTACCTTACTCCCATCCAACTCCAAACGACCATGCACCACATACACCATGTACTGAGATGCTACCCCAAAATGTGAGGGTCTCCTCACTCCCTGTCGACATGAGTCGGTCAACTCTAGATGGCCTTATCCGTCTCTTCAACGCTAGTCTCTCGATCCCCCGTCTTTCTACTACAGTCCCTTCTATTCGGCGTTAGTCCCAAAGCATCCATCCTGCTCGCTCTTCTCGTCGGAAAGGGCTTCTACTGCCGCTGCTTTGTGAGTGCTTGGTGGCTTGCGTCTCGTACGGCTCGGGGTCACTCGCGTCTGTATCCCGGCCGTCGCTGGAATGACACGCCTCGCTCGTTTCTAAGTCCTCGGCGGTCGATGTGAAATTGCCCTTTGAGCCCCTCGACTGCCAGGTGTGATCGGACCAAGGATCCGAAGTTGCCGTCCCGGATTCCTCAAACAGCACGTCGTGGGCTCTCGGGCCTAGTTTGTCTCGCTCCTGTAGATCAAGTGGCGGGTTTAAGGGTTTTGAAAAGTCGATTGCCGGGCCCCCATCGTCGATTTCAGCCAGGCTTACGTGCAGCCCTCTTGCGTGCATGTGAATCTGACTCCGAGATGCCCGTTTCAAGCGAGGCTTGCGCAGTGCAACTGGAGATCCGGCTCGACTCCTGCGCGATTGCATCTCAAGAAGTTCTTCTTGCTCCGTCTCGTCGTCGGTGATGGCACTGTCGAGAAGAATCCAGCGGTCAGGGGCCACTTGGAGACTACCTCCAGAACGCCGACGATGGCGCTTGTGCGGTTTCATTTCTAGACTAGGTCCCATCATCGAGCTTGTCATGAGAGAAGGTTCCGGCCCTTTGACCTGGAAACCTCCTCGGCCGACATTCAGTCGCCGGAGATCTCGCTGGCTCTCCGAGAAGACGACGCGAGCTCGTAGGCGATGAACAGCACGATCTAATGCTAGTTCGATCGCGCACCGATCGCGTACTCGGCTAAGTTTGGGCCACGTAGCACGCTCACCGAGTAGACAGGCCCTAATCATGAATTCGCTGGTGGGATTTCGCATTAACCGTGGCAGGTCGTTCATGTTGACCTCGGGCAGAATGTTGATATCGCCTGAGTACTTTTGGCTGAGGATGCTGCGGAACTTGGTCACCAAGTTGGGCATGATGCCAAGCTCTGCCAGAAAGTGCAGCCGATGGAGTGCCTCGTCCTTGGCTAGAGATGTGAGAGTATAAACCCAATCGAAATCGTCGGTGCGAGTTGGGCGGTCACGGTCAGTGCTCCCGTCTGGTGATAGGTGGTCGTCCTTGGAAAGAAAGGGCACGACGTGGGGATTCACCTGTGATACAATAAAGTGGTTGACGTTGAACAACTCAGAGAGGCGGGTCATGGGCAAGTCATTATCCACGGAACCGTCAATCCAGCGTTGGGGAGACGGGTTCCATGGTAAATGATCACCTGTGGCCGGGTCCTTGACCAACAAAGGCGAGGCGCTGAAAACGAGAGGAACCGAGCACGATGCTGCAACGGCGGACCAGATCATGACGTTGGGCGCAGTGACGTAGTTGAGAAGACGGGGGAGCTCGTAAACGGAGGCTGTGGAGACGCAGATGTTAAGGATGCGCCGGGTGCGGTTGTAGGCCTCTTGAAACGTCATGTCGTTGGTGAGGTTTCTCATGACCTTGGTGAGGTGCTTAATGTCGGACCAGTTGCCCTCGGTCAGCAAGCGGCGCAGGTTATTCCACACGCCGTCTTGGCCGTCCTCTTCGTCAAAGACGGCTAGGTCTCCGTAGGGGAATTCCTTAATCAAGAGCGGAATCTCCTCGTCGGTCCGCGTGCACATGGCGGCGCACACAATGCTGCCAGCGCTGGCGCCTGAGATGATTCTAGGCAAGAGATGAGCCTCAAACAAGGACTTTAGCACGCCAATGTGCGACATGCCAAAGGTACCACCACCAGACAGGAGTAGCGCGCTCCGGCCGTAGCTCTGGCGAGCGAAGAGAATTCCCTCGAGGAGGTCGCGGTGCTCGATGCCATGGCCCAGGCGACTTTGAGTGACGACAGCTTCGATGGTCTGGATGGTGGAGTCGACGTAGCGTTCGATGAGGTGCTTGGTCCCTGAATAAGAGTGTCGGTATAGGTCGACGTTGTCCATGCCACCGAGATCTCGGGATAGGGCGGTACGAATGAGGTGCATCATGGACTGGATGTCGCAGTTGGCTCGGGCCTCGTCGAGAGCTTTGAGCCGGTCCTCGATCAGGTCGGGGTTGTAGTCGCCGGTCGAGGAATCTTGTTTCCATTCTTCGTTTCCATCGAGGAGGTCAAGCTCTTGGGCAGCTGATTCCCATTGGGACCGAGTTTCGGCCTTGGTCCGTCAGTATTTCCGCATACCAAGGGCGACAAGAGTAGAGGGGTTACCTGTTGTAGTCGGGCGCATAGGATCTGGCGTCTCTCCTCTGCGATCCTCTTCTGTTCTCGCTCGTGCTCGGTCAGGCCATCCTTACACCATAGCAATGTATTGTTGACATCCTTGATCGCCTTGTGGAGAGTAGCGACGACACCCGGGGCGGGAGCAGACTTGGAGCTGGAGGGTGGCCGTTTGGCCTTTGTGTTTGGCTTGACCGCGGACTTTGTGGGTTTTGCGTGGAGGGCCGGGACTGGGCGAGCCTGGAGAAGGATGTCGGCCATGACGAAGTCGTAGCGAAGGGTAGTGAATGTGGGCGTGCGGTAGACGCTTGGAGGAGGACGTCTGGAAGGGCGAGGAGGGAGCGCATTACCTCATGGCGGAGGAGCGGGTGGGTGGGTGGAGAATTTAGGAGAGGATTCGGAGAAGTTTGTTCGGAGAAAGGTCGATTGAGTTGGGACGTATTTAGCGGGAGGATGTTGGAGTTGGCGAGGAGTAGCGGGTTGTAAGATGATTCGAGAGGTTATAGGAGAGGGATTGAGGGTATTAGGAAGAGACAGGGACGAGGGATGGTAGTGGTGGTTGGTGGTTAGTGGGTGGGTTGGTTGAGGTTCGGGACGCCGAGAAGCCGATGTGGAAGTGGATGCGGGAGTGGATGACGTTGGAAGCCGCGCTCAGCTGGTTCCATGTCTCACAGAGGGACATAAGATACACAAATAGAGAGTGAAGCAACGGTACGCCAGCATATTCTGCGCCGTTGAAGCCGTCTACAATACTCACTCTCCCACTGCCAGCCTGGTAGGAGGTTGCCGATTCCTGGACGAATTGGCAATCTGACAAAGGCCCATGACCAAAAATCTGCGTTTGTGGGGTGTCCTCTTCCCCGCCATTCCGTGGGGAAGACGAACGGGGAACATCCCCCCCCAGCTTCAGCGCATCTGACCCTGTTTGGGCTGCTTCACCGCCCCCGCGCCGCCAATCACGCCCCTGGAGAGCCCAGCCCTGGCAGCTCTGACGCAACCACTACAGGGGCACGTGGCCCACCTCCGCCGTCGATAGCGGCGCCCTCCAGGCCAGTGTTTTGCTCTGCGGATAGGTACCATCTCGGTGCGTTATGGCCGAAGGGGTACTTACGGTGGGAGCACCATCGTGGGATCCAAGGAATGGAAAAGTCTTCATTTCGCTTGTGTCCTTTCACATGTCACTCTCTGGCCCAAGATGTCCTGGCTTCAGCTGCTTGCCTGCCCGTCCCCATGCCCGTTCCACTAATCACCTGTATTTCTCTCGCTTCTAAATGGCGCCCACTCTGCTCCTAACTTGATCTCTCTCGCCTCTCAAGAAAGAACCCATTGCTTGGCTTGGCCTGCCTCCACTGCTTCTTGTCGCGGGGCCGGCCCGAAGCTTCGGCTCCCCCCTCCCCCGCAAGAACCGCCTGTATGTAATCCGGGGTCCCCACCCGACCATCTGGTGGCTCAGATGTGGATGGACGGCGGGGATGAGATGATGAGCAAGATGATGAGCAAGATGGACAAATGGGGTAACACAGCGGGCCAAAAGGTGGTCTGATGGCCTCCGCCTTTGCCCTCCTTGCCGCCGTATGCCTCGTGCGTGACGCGGTCTGTTTTGTTTTGGCCTGTGATACGTGGTAGATCAGGCTGTGAAGAGTGAAGTAATGAAGGAGTCATTTTTGTCTCTCCAGGGCTGACTGTCTATCTATCTTGACCTTCCGTGTCTCTTTAGCCTCGATGCCGCCTGTCCGACTTCCCGTGTCTTGCTCTGTCGCCCCTCTCGTTGATCCCTCTGTTGCACATGTCCATAATCCCACCAGCCCAGGCATAGTAATGACGCTGGCCAAGGTAAAGGACTTCCACTCGGGTGCAAGCCTTTCCGCCTCCCCTGCTGACCTTGCATCCTGTAACACTCACATACAGCGTTTCCACAACGCCCTACCAATTACTGCCGGTGGACCAAACATTTCACATAAAATATTGTCAGCTATAAACATTCGA